GCGGGTGGACCCGGCCCCAGGTCCTCTGGGCTGGGCTGGCTGCAGGGCTTGGGGGCTCTGCCTGGGGTGTGCAGGAAGCAGGGCTGCTCCTTGTGCCCCAGCTGGACTGGGGATTCCAAGTGTTTGCTTGCTTGGGAACTTGAGAGAGTTGGGAGGAGGAAGCAGGAGTCCCTGCCCGGGGTGGGTCAGAGCCCTCTGGTCCTGGTGGGTCTGGGCAGGGCAGGTGTGTGAGCCCTGGTGGGTCTGGGCAGGGCAGGGGTGTGAGCCTGGTGGGTCTGGGCAGGTGTGTGAGCCCTGGTGGGTCTGGGCAGGGCAGGTGTGTGAGCCCTGGTGGGTCTGGGCAGGGCAGGTGTGTGATTCCTGGTGGGTCCTGCAGCCCCACCTGTGCTCTGCCATCCTGCTTATCCCCCTTCTGGGATGCAGGATTCTTCCCCAGATCTCGCCTTCGGGGGGCACGGGGGGGTGTTTGGCGGGTCGGTGGCCGAGCAGACTGTGTCCTCCCCCCCCGGGCCGAGCTGATCAGCAAGCAGGCGCAGGAGAAGTTCGAGCTGAGCGAGAGCTGCGGGCAGCGCGGGGGCCTGCGGGGCGCGGCGGGAGAGCAGCTCAGCTTTGCGGCCGGGCTGGTCTATTCGCTCAGCCTCCTGCAGGCCACGCTCCACAAATACGAGCAGTGAGTCCCTCGGGAGCTGTTCTGGCCTTGGGAAAGCTGAGGGAGCTGGGCTCCTGCCCCCCAAAGGGGTGTTTGCTGCTCCTGCCCACCTCTCCTGGTTTCCCCCCCCACCCCGAACTGACATGTGAAGGGATCCACTTCCCTAGTGTTGCTTCATCCTCCAGCTGTGACTGTGTCCTGAGGCCAGAAGCAGCCTTGGGGCAAGGGTTTCCCATCTGTCCTTGCCAGGAGACACATCCCAGCCTTCTGCAGAGCTGGGTTTGGCTCTGGGTTCCATCCCCTGCTCCACCAGTGCCAGTGCAGGGGGTGTCACAGTGTCACCCTGCAGGCTCAGCTGGTGCAAGGCCATTGCTGGGCAGAGCCCTGACAGCACCAGGGAGCCAGAGCTGGGCTTCCCTCCCAGACTGGGCAATGCCCTCAGGCACCCACCTGCCCCCAGCCTGGCTCCCTTGCAATGGGAGCTCTGAGAGGTCCCTCTGCTCCTGCACCAGCCTGGGGGATGGACATGCAGAGGCTCCTCCTGCCTCCAGAGCTGGCTCAGGGCTTCAAGCCTGGACTGTTTTCTACCCTGAGGCTCCCTTTCCTGGAGCTCCAGGCACCCTGTCTCACCCCAGGATGTTCTACAGATGTTTTGACCTTTGTTAACCACTCTGGTGCTCCTGGGGATCCAGCTGGGGGTGCTGGCAGTCTCCAATGGTCTGAGATGGATGCCCAGCAGCAGAGCCTCGTGCTGGTATGGTCTGGAGCACATCCCAGCCCAGCTGACCAGGCCTGCTCCCTGCCCAGGGCCCTGAACAAGTGCAGTGTGGAGGTCTACAAGAAGGTGGGGATGCTGTACCCCGAGATGAGCGTCCACGAGCGCTCCCTGGACTTCCTGATCGAGCTGCTGCACAAGGACCAGCTGGACGAGACAGTCAATGTGGAGCCACTGACCAAGGCCATCAAGTACTACCAGGTGGGTCTGCAGAGCCTGGGGCCAAGCTCGGGGGGTTCCTGACCTGCAGGGTGAGGAGCTGGTGCAGCCTGGCCAGTGAGTGCCACGGCTGGAGATCATGGAATCATTTTGGTTGGAAAAGACCCTTAAGATCACTGAATCCACCCAATGTGATCCCACCTGTTCCCGTGGCACCTGGACAGGCTGTGAATGAGCTCGTTGCTGGCACTTCCCTTGGGGAGTTTTTCACCTCTGGAGCTCACAGGGCCAGGGCCTGTGACAGTGCCACTGGTGGCTGTGCTCCCTGTCCCCGGGAGGTCACAGTTCTGTCCTCAGTTCTGCCCCTGTGTGCTGCTGGTCAGGGCCACCAGCTCCTTCAGGGGCAGCGTATCCCTGGGGGCTCTGCTGGGGGCACTGCTAGAGTTTTCACTTCCAGTTAAAAATCAGGCCAACCCCTCAGTGTTTGGTTTTCACCTGTTTGCTGGTTTGGTTGGTTTGCTGCCCCCGGGGGTGCTGAGCCTGTCCTGCCTCTCTCCACCCAGCACCTCTACAGCATCCACCTGGCTGACCAGGCTGAGGACTGCACCCTGCAGCTGGCTGACCACATCAAGGTCTGTCCCTTCCCTCCTTCCCTCTCCAGCCACATCAGGGTCTGTCCCTTCCCTCCTTGCCCCTCCTCTGCCTTTGCCCTTTCTGTCCCCCTCTCCCCCCTCCCCCAGATCACAGACTCATGGAATTGTTCTGGTTGGAAAAGACCTTTAGGATCACTGAGTCCAACCATAACCCAGCTGTACCAGGCCCAGTGTACCCATGTCCCTCAGCACCACATCTACGTGTCTGTTAAACACCTCTAGGGGTGGAGACTCAACCACCTCCTTGGGCCACTGCTTAATTACCCTTGCAGTGAAGAGCTTTTTTCTAACATCTAAGAGATACTAAAGAGATCACTTTGGGACCTGAAGTGCCTCCTTACCCCATGTCCCCACTGAGGTCACCTGTCCCCAGCTCCTGCTGCCTGCAGAGGCACAGAGGTGACGAGGGCTCCCGGGGCAGGGGAAGGGGATGGAGACATGGGGACAGAAGGAGAAGAGCAGTGAGGAGAGTGTGGAGAGCAGGAGGGAGGGCTGAGCTGCCCCAGCTGGGGAGGGAAGTCCCCGTGCAATCCAACCATGGGCTGGACACCTCAGTCCACACTCCTGCCACCCCTGTGCCCAGGGCAGGGAGGGTCCATCCTGCAGCACCCGTGGCCACCTCCTGGTTTGCCCCAGAGCTCCCTGGCCCCCTCCTCGTGCTGACCCTGCCTTGTTCTGTGCTCTGCAGTTCACCCAGAGTGCCTTGGACTGCATGGGGGTGGATGTGTGCCGGCTCCGCGCCTTCCTGCAGGTAGGGCCGGGTGGGCGGGTCCCGCGGGGCTCCCCTCCCTCCCGCGAGGCTCTGAGCTCCTTCCTCTGCCCCCCCAGGCTGGGCAGGAGGCGTCCGACCTGGCCATCCTGCTCAAGGACCTGGAGACCTCCTGCAGTGACATCCGCCAGTTCTGCAAGAAGATCAGGCGCCGCATGCCCGGCACGGATGCCCCGGGGATCCCGGCGGCGCTGGGCTTCGGGCAGCAGGTGGGGGCACGGGCTGGGCAGCCTCCCTCCCCCAGCCTTGGAGGCTCCTTTTATCTTCCCTGGTGCTTCCCATCTCCTAGTGATGCTCCCTGAGCAAGTTAAAGTCTCAATAGCTGCAGCCTGGGGTGAGGCAGGTGGCGGGGAGTGGCACTGGGAAGCAGCCGCCTTGTCCCTGCCTGTGCCAGCCCTGCTGCCCACCCCAGCCCTGCTGCCCAGCCCAGCCCTGCTGCCCACCCCAGCCCTGCTGTCCCTCCCACAGGTGTCAGACACGCTCCTGGACTGCCGCAAGCACCTGACCTGGGTGGTGGCCGTGCTGCAGGAGGTGGCGGCTGCGGGGGCGCAGATGATCGCTCCCCTGGCTGAGAACGAGGGGCTGCAGGCAGTGAAGCTGGAGGATCTGGCTTTCAAGGCCAGTGAGCAGGTGGGAAAACCCCTTTTCCACCACCCTGTCCTTCCCCTGCAGCCGGGCAGAGCCAGGACTCATCCTGCCCCTGAGCAGCTCTGGGGGGGAGATAAGATCCACGAGGCAGCGATGGGCCCTGGTGGCCAAGAAGGCCAATGGAATCCTGGGGTGCATGAGGAACAGAGTGGCCAGCAGGTCAAGAGAGGTCATCCTCCCTCTCTGCTCTGCCCTGGTGGGGCCACATCTGGAGAGCAGGGTCCAGTTGGAGGCTCCCCAGTTCAGGGGAGACAGGGAACTGCTGGGGAGAGTCCAGGGGAGGCAACAAAGATGACTGGGGTGTTGGAGCATCTCCAGTCTCCAAAGGCTGAGGAGGGCTGGGGCTGATCAGCCTGGAGAAGGCTGAGGGGAGACCTTATCAATGGCTACAAGTATCTCAGGGTGGATGCAGGGAGGATGGAGCCAGATTCTGTTCAGTAATTCCCAGTGACAGGACAAGGGACAACAGGCACAAGCTGGAACATGGAAGTGCCATTTAAATAAGAGAAGAAACTTCTTTGCTATGAAGGTGACAGAGCCCTGGGACAGGCTGCCCAGGGGGGCTGTGGAGTCCCCTGCTCTGGAGACATTTCAGACCCCCCTGGATGCAGTCCTGTGGGATGTGCTCCAGGCAGTGCTATTCTAGTGAAGTTGGACTGGGTGATCTCCAGAGGTCCCTTCCAAGCCTGACAGTTCCGTGGTTCTGTGAGAACCTTGTGGACACCCCTGGGAACGTGGCAGGGGAGGGAATGCCAGAACATGGAGGGCTCTGCCCCCCACAGCTGGCCCTGCTCCAGGGCAGTGGGGAGGGGGCTCTCAAGGGGCTGCCACCCCAGCCCAGAGCCCCCTGCCACCTTCTCCCCATCCTCCCCAGATCTACGGCAGCCAGGGCATCAACCCCTACGAGTGTCTGCGCCAGTCCTGCAGCATCCTGATTGCCACCATGAACAAGATGGCCACGGCCATGCAGGAGGGCGAGTACGACGCCGACCGGCCGCAGAGCAAGGTGGGACCTGGGGCAGGGCTGGGGCACCGGGGCTGCTGCACCCCCTCCCACAGCCCTGCTGGGGAGGAGCAGCCTGTGGGACACAGAGCAATCCCCTGGTGGCCCAGCTGGGGTTGCTGGGGCTGATCCAGGACCCCTTGGTGCCGTGTTCTTGCAGCCCACGCCGCCGGCCGAGCTGCGCGCAGCGGCTCTTCGGGCAGAGATCACTGATGCTGAGGGGCTGGGGCTGAAGCTGGAGGACAGGGAGACAGTCATCAAAGAGCTGAAGAAGTCCCTCAAGATCAAGGTGAGCTGTTCTCCATCCACCTCTGCCTTCCCAGCCGCTCGGGGATGAGGTGTTTGCTGCCGTGGCCACCCCTGTTGTGCTCCTGGGGACTTGTTGCTTGTGGAGCTGCTGGTCCTGGGTCCCAGCTGGATTCCAGTACTGGAAGGGGCTCCAGGAAAGCTGGGGAGGGGCTTTTCATCAGAGAAGATAGTGATAGGACAAGGGGTGATGGTTTTAAACTGAGAGAGGGGAAATTTAGGTGAGATATTAGGAAGAAAAGCTTCACTCTGAGGGTGCTGAGGAGCTGGAATGGGTTGCCCAGGGAGGTTGTTGTTGCCCCATCCCTGGAGGTTTTTAAGGCCAGGTTGGATGAGGTTTTGTGCAACCTGATCTAGTGGTTCCCTGCTCATGGCAGGGGGGTTGGAGCTTGGTCATCTTTAAGGTCCCTTCCAACCTTAATGATTCTGTGATTTCCTCCTGGTGATGCTCTTCCAGTTAGGAGGAAGGTGCTGCCTGGTGCCTCCCTGCTGGGGCCTGTCCCTGCCTTCCCCCCCAGTGTTCCGGGATGGGGAGCGTTGGTGATGGGTGACGTGCCCAAGCACCTTCCACACCCTGGGGGTTTTGGGGCTGACTCCCTTGGGAGCTCGTCCTGGTGCCCACCATCCCTCGCTGGGGGGGACCTGGAGCTGATTCCTCTCCTGCCTCCCCAGGGTGAGGAGCTGAGTGAAGCCAACGTGAGGCTCAGCCTCCTGGAGAAGAAGCTGGACAGCGCGTCCAAGGATGCTGATGACCGTGTGGAGAAGATCCAGACCAAGCTGGATGAGACCCAGACACTGCTCAAAAAGAAAGAGAAGTGAGTGAGAGAGGGGATGCTGGGGGGGCTGGGAAGCCAGTGGTCCCTCGGGTGGGCTGGGAGGTGGAAGGGATAAGGGGGTCAAGGGAGGTTATTATCCCCCTCTGCTCTGGCGAGACCCCTCTGCAGGGTTGGGTCCAGCTCTGGAGCCCCCAACAGAAGGAGGACATGAAGCTGTTGGAGTCCAGAGGAGGCCACAGAGATGATGGGAGGGCTGGAGAAGCTCTGCTCTGGAGCCAGGCTGGGAGAGTTGGGGGGTTCAGCCTGGAGAAGAGAAGGCTCCAGGGAGACCTTAGAGCAGCTTCCAGTGCTCCAGGAAAGCTTGGGAGGGGCTTGGGACAAGGGCAGGGAGGGATGGGAGCAGGGGGAAGGGTTTCCAGCTGGCAAAGGGAGCTGGAGCTGAAATGTGAGGGAGAAATTCTGGGCTGTGAGGGTGGGGAGAGCCTGGCCCAGGCTGCCCAGGGAAGCTGTGGCTGCCCCATCCCTGGGGGTGTTGAAGGGCAGGTTGGATGGGGCTTGGAGCAGCCTGGTCTGCTGGGAGGTGTCCCTGCCCACAGAACGGGCAGGGACTGGATGGGCTTTAAAGTCCCTTCCCACCCAAACCAGTCTGGGACTCTGTGTGTCTGCTGGAGCTGGTGGGGCTGCAGCCCTGGATCAGCAGGTGTGTCTGGGCACAGCAGCAGGATGCAGGACAA